TGGGATGTCAAAACAGGATAATAAAAAGCCAAATTATATGGTCATAGTAATTATGTCTACTCAGTCTGTTTCTCTCCTGATGGAAATACATTAGCTTCTGGTAGTTATGATAACTCTATCCGTCTATGGGATGTCAAAACAGGATAACAAAAAGCCAAATTAGATGGTCATTCTAGTTATATCTAGTCAGTCTGTTTATCTCCTGATGGACATACATTAGCTTCTGGTAGTTTTGATAAGTCTATCCGTCTATGGGATGTGAAAACAGGATAATAAAAAGCCAAATTAGATTGTCATAGTAATGGAATTTAGTCAGTCTGTTTCTCTCCTGATGGAAATACATTAGCTTCTGGTAGTTATGATAACTCTATTCGTCTATGGGATGTGAAAAATGTAAAAGAAATTTCATCTCCTGATAAAAAATACAAAGATATTCTTGATTAATTCAAAGCACCACTATTTTCAAATAATCCTCTACCAGGTATTTATTTGATAATTACCTTTTAGAATCCAACAATATTACAATTCTAAGAATATCTTAAACACCAGTATTCGAAGCACAAGGAGCATTAATCTTGAAAGGAGAATTTATCAATTATAAGGGATACGATCTTCGATCATTATTCAAATTTTTAGGAAGTTTCATTTTAGAAGACTGTAAGTATATGTGATTATACATTAACAATATTACAACTATAATACCTACAATATATAATATTTTTTTTAATTTTGTCTTTATTAGTTTCACTCTTATTTTTCATTGCTAGGTATCTTCTTATTTTTCTAAGTTTTTTTATTTCTATTTTATATACACTACATTTATTTTAATAATATTATAATATATGGTCGGTCTAGTTTAGGGATTATTTATTTAAATATCATAATAAATGTTATCAATTAATAATAATTGAGACTAAATTATAAATGATACTACTTTAAATTAATAATCTAAACAGAGAAAAGTAAGCAAAACGAAGAAATTAAAATAAAGATCGTTAAAATTACTTAAAGAAAACTTTATTAACACAACATTCTTTAATAATACATCTAGGGTATTATATGATAGATTTACTTAATTTATCACTATTTACAAAAGGGATTAGTCTTAAGAACTTAATTAATAATTTGTAATATTAGTTCATAAATAGTAAAAGATATTTTTTATATAAAAAGATAAGAAAAAAGATACATCAAGAATATATTTAAAAAAATACACTTAATATTAGAATGATAAAGTAAAACAATTAGATTGGATAAAATTTAATATTGAAAGTAATGTACAAATCACCTTTGATTATTATTTTCAATTGATATGAAAAGGATTAGATTTTATAAAAGACTGAAAAGATTAATTAATCATCAAGAAATACGATATAATTGAAAGAATTAACATTTTCGTAGATAATTATACCTTCCCTAACAACCATCTAATAATATTAATTATCATTTAAATTAAGCTCACTTAAATAATAACATACATCAAATAATAAACATTTAGAAATCACTGAGATTATGTATAATAAAAGTCACCTTGAAGATAATTTCAAATTACATTAATTAATATAGAGAAAAAAATGGTATCCCTCATAATTTATTAGCTTTAAAAACTGTATAAACTCATCATCTAGTTCAATTTCACAATTAAATTTATTCATTATGAAATTATGAAGTTCCCCTAAATTTATATTAAATAATCACCAAGATTGGTTCTGAATTATACATATCAATAATATGTAATCCCAAAATGACGAAATTTTTCTTCTTCTCTATAAAAATGAGATTAACCCCCTAAAATGAATTGGATGATAAATTTGAAGAACTCACATGTAAATGTTTGTGAATATATAAT